TTCTCAGTGAGCATACACGTATGCTGACTTCTTAATTTTTCTGACTGCGCTTTCTGTAGATACAGAGGGCTTTTCTGTATCTTACACTTGTTATTCATCATCATGTACATTAAACTTCATTCTGTTGGTGGTTACTTTCATCTGCCATGGCGTCTTGATTGTTCCTTTAATTCTATGCATCTACTTATTTATTTCAATTCCTCAGATGCAAATTACTGCTGTTGTTTTTTTTTTTTTTGGGAATAAAACAGGATTGATGGACCAGCAGCCCTGAGCTGCCCAGAGTGTCCCTATTGCTGGGGCCCCGGAGGACATGCAGGAAGCCGATCCAGGTCAGGCGAATACAGAGCAGGCAGGAACAGTTCAGGAATCCAGGAGACCTCGGCTCAATCAGAGATTCTGACCCAAACAGGATCAGAGGGATCCAGGCTTTCAGGAATCCTCAGAACGTGAAGAAAGGTTCAGAGTGTCATGCATCCAGCAACCAGCTCAGACAGAAACGCACACACACAGATAGGCAGAATCCAGCAGGAGTCCAAAGATGGTTCAGGCAAACAGATCAGATGGGGACAGATTGGCCCAGTGGGTGAGAGGTAAGAGAATCAGGAAATCAGAATCACTAGGAAATGCTCTTACCACTGGTTAATGTCACCACTGGAACGGGGACATTAACCTTACAATAAACCAAACTAACAAAACAGAACCTAGACAAAACAAACAGACAGCAAACAATAATCTGGTCCAGATAGCTTGACTGAACCACATATAAAGCAGAACCTACAGGTGGATAAGATCAGAGATGATTAAAGACCAGGCACAATAAAGCAGGTGAACGACATGAAAAATTAAGGCCAGCTATCAGGGCAGATCATCATACTACTAGCTTGAAATTTTTGTTTCTTAAATTTCAGAGTTTCTTTTTCTGATGTTTTTTGCTTCTGGTGTTGAATTCTGTGGGATCGGAAGAATTTTTACTGAGATATTTTCCTTTTTGGGTACTTGTTACGATGCGTATCCACAGCAACCATAGAAAGTCGATTTTTTAAACCCAGGAGCAGCTCTTTAAGATTTCTAAAGCTAACATAATACATCAACTACTTGCGTAAGTACGAGCTGAGCTAAAAACAAAGTGCCAGGGATACAGAGCAGGAGGTAAAAGATGAGAGAGAAACAAGAAATTTAAGCCATTTCTTCCATCAATCATCCTCTCTGCTAAAAAAAAAAAAAAAAAGAATTTGGCCCCATGACATTGATTTTTGATTACTATGATTTTTTTTGTAACTTTCCTGTGTGTAGCTTGTGTTGTTTCTTTTACCTAGTTTTTACATGTACAGAGTGTCTGTACTTCGGTGGTTTGAAAGGCACCTGAAGTAACATTTATTATTATTTTTATTATTATTATTATCATTATTATTATTACTGGTAGTGAGCAAGGGTTCAGGGGCTCTGTTTGTCCAATCAATTTGATCACACAGGGGCTCTATGCAGGGTTATAATTTTTTGGTTCAGAAATCTTAGACACCAGGTTGGTTTGAGCAGTAGCTCATAGGGAAGATAGAAATGGGGGTGCGGTAAGACTTGATTGCAACGACATCCAGGTAACCGGCAAAAAAAGCATTGAAGACACAAGTTAAAAATCCTATGTTTTTAGTGAATTGGGAGGACATTGTTTTCT